ACGTACCGTGTTTATAATCCAGCCTTTTCTTCAAGGTAAACCTGTGACTCCTGATATCCTAAATATGAATCCAAAACGATACATAACTTAGACTTTTCATCAATGTTTAGGACAAGAAAGACATCCTAAATTTTTTGCCAGGGCATAAGCCCAGATCTACATGTCAGCACGTCTGCTGCTTTTCCCCTAAGCACTCTGAGCTGTCTCCAGTCTCGTTTGTTAAATTAAACCCTTTTTTAACATTCACATCACTTTCTCTCTTTAATGTCCTTCTGGCAGGTGCTTTCCTCTTCTGCTGGACACCTTTTTTTGTGGTTCACATTACCAGGGCGCTCTGCAAGTCCTGCACCATTCCCACTCAAGTCACCAGCACTGTCACTTGGCTGGGTTATGTCAACAGCGCTCTCAACCCCATCATTTACACCGTTTTCAACGCGGAGTTCAGGAACTTCTTCCGCAAAGTCTTGCACCTCTTCTGCTGAGCCCACCGCAACTAGGAGGAGAAGGAACGACTGGGCTGGGTTTTTTTGTATAGTCCATTAAAGATCTATTTCTGCCTACGGTCTGCTGTCTTTGTTGGGGAGGAGGGAAGGAGGAGAGATGGCAGCTGAAGGATGCTGGTTCCCAGCTCTTTGTAACTGGGAGTCGCAGGTGAGCACCAGTGGATACAGCTCGGATACTCTCGCCCCTGGAAACTGCAGGCGTAGCCACTTTTTAACACTTGGCGCTTGATATAAGCAGCAAGAGACACCACAAGACAGCAGAGATGGTTCTCGGGAACAGCTCGTGCTTTGGATTTAGGTGCTTTGTCTGGTTTGGGCTTCGCTTAACTGTCACTAAGCAAAGCCAAACAGCCCTCATCCCCGCCGTGGTCCGGGGAGGCAGGAGACCCTTGAAGCGTGCAGCTGCTCTGGCCCTGAGAGTCACAGACGAATTCCCTGCTCGCACCCCTGGGAGGTGGAATCCTCCCTGCTCTGTCCCAAGAAGCGTTACTGAAGGAGGTGGCTGAACACAGCCCTCCCTGCCTGCAGCCCAGCCTGGCCGCGGCCCGTCTCCACCAGTTCGTATGATTTAAACCAGGAGGACAAACCAAGCTGGTGAGTCCAGGGCAAAATCGAGCCCTGCTGAAACACGCTGGGATGTGCCCCGGGTGCTGCTCGAGCTGCTTTCAGCCGGCTGC